TTTGACAACATAAATGGTTGAACTAATTAGTTGTTCTCACTCGTTGAAAAAGAACATGCGTTTAGTCATAATTGTAGCTGAAATTATTCCAAAAAATTTTTTTTTTTTATGACGAAATCTCAGCAAATTTCTCTTGGTCATTGCACATTTTCAAAGCTGTTAAAGCTACCAAGGACTAACTCATGTCACCCAACTTCCCTCCATAAGCTGGGGTGCGGTTTGGTTCGGATTTCTGCTGTTTCAATGTGTTAGATGGGAACAAACTGGGTTATGTAACAGGACTTGTCATAGGACTTAAGGGGCACATGGGAACTGGCTCGGAGCTCGTCTGCCTGGATGTGTGTTATCTGGACGGTTCCGCCTTTAAAGCTGCTTTTTGTGTCTCTGCTTCTGTCTCCTTGAACCCCAGTCGGCCTCAGCAGATGGCCGCTCACACTGAGCCTGGTTCTGCTGGAGGTTTCTTCTTGTTAAAAGGGAGTTTTTCCTCTCCACTGTCGCTACAAGCATGCTCAATGTGAAGGATTGCATTTGAGTCAATGAGTCGATGCAATCAACTGGTTTTTCTTAGATAGAAAACTTTGAATCAATTTGACTGGATGATCTGGTTGAATTGTCTCTGTAAAGTGCCTTGAGATGACTTGTGTTGTGAACTGGTGCTATATAAATAAACTTAACTGAATTTAATGTACATTGTGATGATTGTTAAAATGTTTTATTGTGTAGCTCATGCTCCAATGTTTAATTCCAGCTCAGGATAAACATGAACCGGGTGAGCCGGCATTGGATTTGTTGCTCTTCAATTTTGATGAGTTGGTTGAGGTGGTTTGGGCATTTGAATATTATAAAATCTTTAATTTAGAGGGTTTCTATGCACACCCAATTGGAGGAAGATTACACCACAGACTGACGACTTGCAAGAACAGTTAGTTTTCCTCTTTTGGCCTGGGACTCCCAGCAAATCACTCATACACTCATAAGGTGCTGTAGATTGAGGTTTGCAAAATATGTTATGTTTCCTTCTTCTTCTTTCCTTCAAATTCATTTCACATAAATAGATGAATGTATTTATTATTTGACAATTATGCTTTATTAAAAAATATTATTTTTTTCAGGGTGGTGGTGGATGAGGAAGAATAGCAATAATCACCAACTATTGCTGGTAACAACCCCTCATCCTTTGGGCAAAACAAAAGGCGCTATGATGCCACAGGCATCATAGCTGCCAGGAGAACATGTTTCTATTACCAAACTCCACAATGTAATTTATGTGATGAAACATCCGATCACACCATTTAGGACAGTATAAAACACTAGTAAGAGCCCACAATGACACCAGAGGAGCTATTGAACTTTCTGGAGGACTTGGTAGAGGAAGAATTCCTTAAATTCAAGTGGCTCCTTCAACAGACTAGTAATCTTTTGGGTTTCCCAGCCATAAAAAAGAGCCATCTTCAGACGGCAAATAGGCAGGACACCGTGGACCTGATGGTCCAGACCTATAGTCTCTCTGGGGCTGTAAAGGTAACCAAGAACATTTTAGAGAAGATTAACAGGAATGACTTGCTGCAAATTTTGGTTTCTAGCAGCTTGAGAACAGAAGGTCAGTTATAAAATGAGACACACATTTTTAAAAGTAGTCAGATTATTTTAGTTTCTGACTTTTATTTCTGCCTTTCAGTGGATGTGAGTGATGTTGGGAGAATTTCAGAGGACACAGGCCATTTAACATCTCCTATTCAGACTCCTCTTCCTCAAATTCAAAGGGAAGTTCGTGGAATAACTGGTATGTAATTAAGTCAAAAAGAACAAACGTATAATAGTTTGAAATCACTCATTCTTATAATATTGCTTTTTTATGACTTTTAATATCGGTATTTTACCTTTTTTAAGTTTTCTTCTTGAAATTACTGAAATTTGATGAAAAAATAATTAACTAGATATGATTTAACTTTTAGATTAATGCAGTTTCAAATCATATAGTCACACTTGTGGAAAGTTTTCTTTTTAAAGTAAAACGGCTCAGTTGAGTCATAGAGTTTGCAGGATACGCCCCTCCTGGATGAGCACAATAAACTCGCTTGCATTGCGTCATTGACTTTAAAGCCATCCCTCACACCGAGCTTGCATGCAGCAACAGTGTAGAGGAAAAAAAAATCACTTTTACTATAAGAAAATTCCCGCTGAACCAAGCTCAGTCTGGACGACCTCCTGCAACGTCCGACTGGGGTTCAAGGAGGCAGAAAAAGACATACAAAGGGAGCATAGACGTATGGATCCATATATAATTTATATTAGTAAAGATGATGATGAACTAGCTCCATAGGTGGCTCTGTCTGGGAAACAGCAAAGCAGACAAGGTTTGTGCCAGTTTGAAAACCAAAAGGGAGGAAAGAGCATGCATTTATGAAATAAGCTGAGCCCATAGCTATATCTAGGAGAGAAGTAGGACTTAGCATTGAATAATAGGCTCAACTCTATCGTCTCTAATAGATGGTGGGGCAGCCCTGATGATTTCGCCCCCATGATGGAGTCTGAGCCAGAGAAGAACAGCCGAGATGAAGCTAGCATGACAGGTGAAAAGGATAGAGAGCAAAACGTTAGGGGTTAAACTAATAGATACTTCAGAATAGGAGAATAGGAATAAAGCAGAAAGATGAAAAGTGGTTCGATTGTTCTCCATCAGAATAAGCCTATAGCCACATCACAATAGAAATAGCTCAGGATAAACTTAATTTTCTAACTATAAGCTTTAAAAAAAATAAAAAATTAAGCCTCCTCCTGAAAGTAAACAGGGTTTCTGTGTCATTAAGACTCCTACAGAAGAGGAGCCTCATAACCAAAGGATCCGACTCCCATTCAGTGTAAATGTAGTTAAGGGTAACTGTAGTGAAAAGCCTTCAGCTGATCCAAAATGCTGCAGCCAGAGTTCTGATGAAAATTAAAAAGAGAGATCATATCTCTCCTATCCTGGCTTCTCTTCATTGGCTTCCTGTTAAATCCAGAATAGAATTTTTAATCCTCCTTCTCACATATAAAGCCTTAATTAACCAAGCTCCCTCTGATATCAGAGATCTGATTGAGCTTGGCCATTTAAGGCTTAATATGTGAGAAGGAGGATTA